CTTTACTCGTTCTCATCATGTTAATCAACCTCAGACTCTACCTTTCCATTATGCTTCCACTCAATTTTCCACCGACAAGCTTTCTTTTTTTTCCCTTTCACTGTATTCGTCTTTAACTCTTTTCAACACTTTCTTTTTCTCTTATAACTTTCTCTTATTTCTAGAGATTTCTTCAATTGTAATCATAAGATAAAAATCTAAAGTATCAGACTACCCACTCTATTATTTGTCATTTGCAAGCTTGTTCATGAGAGGAGTGTCAGATATTGTTGGATAAACTGGCACTACACTAAATAAATCATCACTGACCATCATGTACAGTTATACAACTTTTTTGGTTGACTAAATATGACAATGTAAAAACAATTTTCAAGCTGTGTTTTTTCTTTTGTCTTCAGTAGGTTATTTGGAATTTATTCTTCATTACCTGTATATTGTAACTCAGATTCCAATAGAAGTCACAGTGCAAATATTAAATGTAGTGACATAAAAAAATCATAGGAAAAATATTTAAAAAAAGGGAAAATGAGACAAAAAAAAACATTTGGTATATCACTTATCTACATGATTCATTCTCCTGCATCAACCACAGGCTTACACATCCTTTTTATCCCATACTTCCATTCATCCTCTTTCCAGTGCAAAACAGGATTCCCTTCATATCCTCCTGCTCCTCCTCCACTCACCTTTTTTGCGAAGGATGGTAGAGTTGGCCGATCTTATCATCAAAGAAACGTTTCATGGCATATCTGTCGAGGGCTTGGTCTGTTGAGGCGCAGATGTTGCTGTAGTGCATATAGGCTGCAACCACCACACCCAGCTTTTCATAGCCCCCTCTGCAATACACAGACAAATCAGTTTAGATTTCTACACCCCACCCCCCCATAATTAGAGCATATCTTTGAAAATGCAAAATTCAGTTATGTTAAACAAAAAGTATTTTGCATGTTTACAAGAAATTAAAGAGTTTGTACTAAAACTCAGCCTTTTTTCCAAGACCAGACTTATCAATCATCTACTACAAAAATAATCTTTAAAAAAATTAAAGGACACAAACTACACATACTGCTAAAACAAAGAAAACAAATGCACCATGCCCTGAATACATAAGCAAACATCTATTCTCTTATTCAGACCCTTTGCTTGACTAGTCACCTTATTATCAAAAAATGGATGAATAAAATCCCAAAACAGAACATGGGTTTCAATTACACTTTTTTTTACTTTGTTATATTCTTTATCTGTTTAACTACATTTCTGTTTAGTATTCCATTGGTAATAAAGATAAAGCATTAGAATAAATATCTCCCTTTCAAATAATGTGAAACATTGCTGTCAGCTAAATTTCTGATGACAAAGAAAATATTAAATAAACTAAAAAGCACTAACAGAATAAAGCAGTAATGAAATTAGTAACTGACTACAAGAAATAGTAGAAATAGAAGCAGTAGTAGTAGTAGTAGTAACAGCAGCAGTAGAAGTAGTAGTAGAAGTAGAAGTAGAAGTAGTAGTAGTGATAGAAATAGCAACAGTAGTAGTAGTAGTAGTAGTAGTAGTAGTAGTAGTAGTAGTAGTAGTAGTAGTAGTAGTAGTAGTAGTAGTAGTAGTAGTAGTAGTAGTAGAAGCTGTAGTAGAAATAGCAGAAGTAGTACAAACTGTAAAAGTAGCAGAAGTAGCATAGTTGTAGTAGCAATAATAATAATAGTAGTAGTGGCAGTAACAGCAGTAGAAGTTGTAGAAAAAGTAGCAGTAGAAGTAGTAGTAACAGAATAGTATTAGAAGTAGTAGTAACAGAATAGTATTAGAAGTAGTAGTAGTAGTAGTAGTAGTAGTAGTAGTAGTAGTAGTAGTAGTAGTAGTAGTAGTAGTAGTAGTAGTACAAGTATTTGCAGTAGTAGCAGAAGCAGTAGCAGTAGTAATACTAATAGTAATAGTAATAATAGTATCAGTAGTAGTAGTAGTAGTAGTAGTAGTACTAATAGTACAAGTAGTACTAGCAGTACTAATAGTACTAGTAGTACTAATAGTACTAGTAGTACTAATAGTACTTGTAGTACTAATAGTACTTGTAGTATTAATTGTACTGGTACTATTTCCACTACTGTTGCTGCAACAATAGTAACACAAACAAACTATAAAGAACAACAACTACTACTACTACTAATAATAATAATATTAAAGATAACAGCAGAAATGACCGTACTGACAATACAATAACACTAACACATCTACAGGCAACACGAAACACTACCGGTAACATCAACGCACGCATCAACACTATCAATCAACAGATACATAAGAAAACATAACAAGAACGCCCTCCCCCTCACCTGGCATGCAGAACAGCCACATGTTGAGGGTGTTGCGTGATCCAGGAGTCAAGCGCCTTGCAGATGGAGCACAGCCTCTCCAAAGCGGGTGCCAGCTGGTCCGCCCATCCTAGCTCCATCACACGAGGTAGGAAGTGACTTATTTCACCATGTTGTGATAAATTGAATACCTGTAAAGAAGAAAGGGAGTATTTTGTAATTAAATGTTAGGCACTGTTTGAAGAATTGGATTGTCTATAGGCCTATCAAAATTCAACTGAGTACGGTATATGAACTTGGTATCCTTCGTATATAGAGTAACAGATATCAAACATTCATATTTCCAAATGAATAACTAAATATTAACCGAATATCGACTTAAAATCTCTTTATCGATATAGGCTTACACTACGCTGCTGAATATTCAAAGCGTCGAATCAATACGCTTTGCTCTGGAATTAATTCTCAATTGTGATGTACTTTATGTAACGACTGCCGTTATAGCCCCTGTATAGTGCAGTACAAATCGGTCAGTTATGGCAGTGGTGACCAGACTGCTACGCAAGGATATGCTGAATTGGTGCCATTGTTCATGTGTGCAATGCATGTTTTATTTGTTCGTGGAATCATCCTTCAAACCACGCGTTTATAAAGCCAAGTGTAACTTGTACTCTGAGTGAGTGAGAGTGAGAGAGAGAGAGAGAGAGAGAGAGAGAGTGAGTGTGTGTGTGTGTGTGTGTGTGTGTGTGTGTGTGTGTGTGTGTGTGTGTGTGTGTGTGTGTGTGTGTGTGTGAGAGAGAGAGAGAGAGAGAGAGAGAGAGAGAGAGAGAGAGAGAGAGAGAGAGAGAGAGAGAGAGAGAGAGAGAGAGTGAGAGTGAGTGAGTGAGTATGTGCGTGCACGCGCGCTCGCATGAGCGTGCGTATATTATAGAGAACTATGCAAGTCCTTCAATATCCAGCATTTTTTTCCTTATTCTAAGAAAAGTAGCCACGCCGCAGAAAATCTCACGATCATTGGAAAGAGAGAAACAATAACTTTTGCGTAGGCAGAAGCACGAAAACATTTTGAAAACATAATTCACCAATCTGGATTTAATTTCACTTGTACAGATATAAATTTCATTATCACGAAATAAACAATGAAGTCTGTCCATTTTTGAGAGTAAAAAAGTTTTAATAATACGCACGCAGGTATGCACGGCTATCCACCGGCAAACTTTTTTTTTCAATGTATAAGGGAAAATGCGTCACGAAACCAGAATGGACAAAACTGATCCGTGATTAACATCTATTTCGAATCTGTTATGCAAATGAGAAGTAAATATTTTCATTGATCTTGCTATATTTTCACAATAAAATACGGATTAACTACTGTAGTAATTAGAAAAAATAAATATTTTTTTAGCTATCAAAATAATGATATTCATGATGATCATGATAATGTGATGTTCATGATAACAATTATAGTAATAAAAATAACATTAAAATAATTTAGTTATCAAACCAAAATAAAGGTAACATTGATAATGATACAGTGTAATGTGATGGTGACGATGCCGCTGCTGCAATATGATGCAATGCGATGGTTATGATGATATTAATAAACGATCATTATTAAAAGTGAAGATATAGGATTTGCTACAATCACATAATAATAACAGTAACAGCAAGGGCAATAACGCATAATTTATGACTCGCTATAGAGAAGAGAACGAGACATAAAATATAACTAAACATACAGTGTGATTAAATTAATGTTACTGTTTTGACCCTACAATAATATACAATGTAACTATGACATATATGGCAGTAATCATTATAATCGTATATAATATGTTTCGCACCCATAATAACAAATCCACTTAAACTACTCCATACATGACAATGTTCATTGTATGTGCTGACATACAATCCCATACATAACTGTCACACTGAAATGCAAGCTGAAACATATGTACAACATAACGCTGTCATGTTTAGGAGCACGCTAATAGATTGCGTTGTCAATCGAGTTCGACAAACCGCCATAACGACAATTAAAGCCCGACTACCTGCGGTTTTGGAATTTAGTACATTGAAGATCTGTCTCACTCTAATTGAATCAATGATTTAATTTACTTGTGGCTCCATTCCTTACCCTGGAAATGTATTTTTTTTCTTTCTTTGTTCCATAACACTACTTTCGTACAGATGAAACCGGCAGCAATGCAACTGGGGTGAGTTCCATGCCACGATTACCATGCCACTGTTACTCTAAATATCTGATGCTGCGGACAGTGCAACAGGAACCAGCAGAACGTCTGAGCCACAATATTTGTTTCCGATCCGGAAAGTATCCTTTGAGCATTCGTAGTCATATTAATTCATACCGGAAAATAATAATAAATAGCATATAAGCCGACGAATGCTTTGTATTTAAATCATACAATTATACTATTGCGTCTCTCCTGGAAACGCCACGGTACGGCAACCTGCAGCTCGCGTACCGGCACCGGCGCGCTCTGGTTCGAATGGCACAGGTGGGGTGCAGGGGGAATCTGCAGTCATTTTAATGATCCTAACATGTAAACGATAAGTGTTAGCACATTCGTAGTTCATAAATGCATTGGTGAATTGTGGGAATGTGCAATGTTTATTTAAAAATAATAAAGAAAATGCAAGTGTGCACAAATGACAATACACACATACACA